GCCGGAGTTAAACCACGACAGTGAACCAAGAGGTTTCGTTTTACCACTTCCTTTTCCAAGAGAAGCTTCTCAACTTTCAAAGCAATGTGGTTGCAGTAATTCTAGTTACTGACCAAACCCCACAGCCCTGTCACAGATGAGAAATTAATGCCCATTAAAGTAACAAGCTCATGATCACTAAAATACACAGAACTGGCAATGGATGGTGTTCAGACTGGTGAGGTGTTTAACAAGCTTAAGGATTGGCTCCTTCAGGTTTGTTCTACAGCCCAGTACAACACCAGTATTTATGTGCTTCCTAACGAGCCAGATTAAACCTGAAAAGAAAGCCATGAAAATGATGTATTATGAAACATCAGAGATCAAAATATTCCAGTCTCGCTAGAAACCGCTCTCATTAGTGGTTTTGATTAGTTCCTTCAAATCTTCATGACTGGGATTTAGACAAACTAGAATTTCAGAGAAACTGCACACTACTTTCAGCCCCGTTCACCTGCAGAATATCATCTAATGTTTCCAAAAGCCAGACAAGTATCTTAAAGCAAAATTAATTGCAGCTTTTTGGAAAGGCTACAGAGGCGTGACGCGGTACTCGAAATTACAGAGGCTGGAAGTAACTATTCGCCCTTATTACAATATTCTGACAGATATTTAGAAATATCTGTGTCTCTGGATTCTGTCAGAATGATTTTCCATGTCATTCCTTACACATTCTAATCACTGTTGACGTTACGATGTTTTGATGATAAAAACCAGACAGTAGTTCTAGGGAGAGAAATATTTGCTAGATGATGTTAGGTGTTATAAAAAAAAATTTTCCCCTGCTGTAGGTTGCTGAATTCCAGTGCTGTGTGCTAACAGCAGCAAATGGATCATCAGCTTCCATCCCGTTTTCTCTCTGCTGACTGCTTGGTGATGGGAAGTCTGTAGAACCAAGGTGGTTCGCTGGGGCTGAGCATTATCTCTGTTCTGCACTTCATCCGTAGGAAGCTGTCTGCATGGACACAGGCATGAAATACAGTCCTTCCACGAGGGAATATGGCAGTGTTTAAAATTTGCACTGCGTTTGCCAGTGGTCTAGCATTTGAGTCTTCTCCAGGAAATAAATTTAAGTGCATATTTTCCCAAAAGCTGGGGTTCTCAGGCATATTAAGTTTCACTTGGTTAATTCTTAGAAAAAGACCAAGGCTCTACATAAGATTATTTTGCAAAACAAACAAAAAAAAAAGCGAGTAACTGATTTAGAAACTCTTGCCTATTCCCATAAGATGCTGCAGAACAGCCAAATCCAACCAACCCTCACTATTCTTAGATGAGATTAAATCCCCCTCCTCACCCATCACCGCGTGGCAAGAGCTGGTGCTGCCAGGCTCATGAGCCACAGAGGCAGTACAATCACAGGAGCCACACGCCGGCCCGGGACACGAGGAAGGGGTTTGCATGAGAAAGGCACAAACACCTGTGTGTTTTTCAGAGCACCAAGCCCTCACAGAACGCAGAGGCCCCATTACCCAAAGCCCAGTCTAAGCTACGGAAGCAACAGGAGTCACAGTCTCCTGCTCGTTTTCTCCTGCAAGAGGGGACTAAGCACGGCCCTAAGAGCAGTGGGAGGCTTGGCCTAGGTGTTACCCTGGAGAGAAGCAGCCGAGACTGAGCACCCCAACAACTGTGGCAACAACAGCTCTACTTGCCAAGTTCTGTAACTTCGCCAAACGCCTGTATCCTTCAGGTGTCCCTCCTGCCCAGAGCCACCCTGCTTTCTCCTCACGCAGAGAGGGATTTTGGAGTGCCAAGGGCAGACTCTGTGTCCTACTGGGCATCGTGCCCTTAAAGCATCCCTGGTAACTACTACCAGCCATTTACAGCTGTGGATCAGAAGGGCTCCGGCTTTAGCTGTGCAGCTGCACGTATGTTCCTGGGCTCAGCTGCAGCCTCAGGACACAGTTCAAGGAACCACAACTGGAATTTCTATATTCTGCTTTTTTCCTACACGTGGCAGTTACTTACACACAAAGAGAAAAAAAAAAGTTAGTAAATTCTAGCATGAACAAGACGGAAAGCGTCTTTTTTTTTGCTAAACAGATCTTTCTGCATACTTACAGGCACAGCTGCCACCAGCGTAGGCTTCAGGACAGTACAGTCGCCTTTGCTTCCCTTCTTGATCTTACTTGACTGTAATAGGGAAAAAATGTCCATTTACAAAGCTGAAAACCAAGCAGCTCTACAATAGGGAGCTACATTAGCATGTAATTTGTTTAAATCTCCTCCCCAGACCCTCCAAAAAACCCATTTTGTCTGTAGATTAGGGGTTTTTTTCCCATTGTGATGGAAAAGTAACAATTTACAACACTTTCAACTCAAACACGAGGTTTTTTTTACAAGTGCAACCTGGTTAACTCCACTTTGTCTATCTTTCTCTTACTTCCTCCCTCTAGTACTTGCTTCCTCCAGGAGTTCCTTTTCCCTGATGCAATCTCTACACCAGTAAAACACAGGGAAGCATTCCTTTCCAGCTTAATTAGCTCGTATTTATCTTAACGGTTGAATGAAGAAAGGCAGAGGGCTACACAGAAGAGCCATTTATTGGGTTTTTTCCAGATTTCCTAAGTATCATAAAAGTAAAGGTTATAATAAAATTTTTATGGTATGACCCACTACTGTAGCTCATCAGAAGCGTTAATTTGCAGCATTTTCTGAAAACAAAAGTTACGTTTCTGAAGCGTGCCACATGCGTCAGCACTTGGCGTGAAAGAGGACAGCTAAGCAAGGAGAACGCAGGCCGCAGAGCTCAAGTCTGCTTTTGCTCCCCCTGCCCCTCACCTGATCTGAGAGTGTGAGTGGAGAGGAGTACCCAATCCTGCAGCCGTACGTGATGCAGGAAATTTCTGCTGTCAGTTCTAACACGTGGGCCAGAGGCAAGTAACCAATGTACGTATCCTTGGGCCTAGGAAAGGAAAGGATTATCCCATCAACAATGATGCACAAGCAGACTGGAAATACTCTTGAGCAGTTTCACTGTGGGCTCAGTTCCGACTTCTTGGAAGACCTGTGTCACAAGTGAGGCTTATTCTGCACACGGGAAGGGCGCGATGTCAAACCACAGTTTATAAACAAAATGGGGAAAATCCTCCCTTAGGGAAATCAGGATGAGTTGCAGGATTTGCTTTGTTTTTTAGGAAACCCAAAGACTCCTTAGTGTTCCACTATTTCCTCTCCTTGGGGGAGACTTCATCCCAGGTAAGAAATTAAGGATGAAATCAGTGTATTTCAAAATAATCACCAAGGATTCACAAATCCTTGACAGTCACCGTAGCAGCTCCTTCTAAAACAGTTCAGTAGACAGAGAGCTGGTCACCAAACTACTAAGGCTCCTTTCAGAAAAGGAGTTCGTAGAGATTGAGATTAGATATCAGGGAGAAACTCTCACCGGAGAGGGCGGGGAGCACTGGGACAGGTTGCCCAGAGAAGCTGGGGATGCTCCATCCCTGGAAGTGTCCAAGGCCAGGCTGGATGAGGCTTGGAGCAACCTGGTCTAGTGGAAGGTGTCCCTGCCCATGGCAGGGGGGTTGGCACTAGATGGGCTTTAAGGTCCCTTCCAACCCAAACCGTTCTGTAATTCTGTGATTTCTCAGCAAGAAACTCGCTTGTGAACGCAGCGACAAGCACACCCGCGTTCACAAAAGATGTCGAAACCTTAACGTGAGGGAACGTGCAGTTGGCTTCACCACTGCCAGGGCGGAGTTCAGCGCTGCTCTGCACATTTAGTGACCGATACCCGAGCCGATCCTGCGGCGTGTGCGCTACCCACCCAGCAGCGCCGTCTCTGCATCGGTGGACGCGGGAGGCTCTGCTGTAGTGATTCTACCTGCCTGGAAACGTCCAAAAAACAATTCCCAAGTTTGACTAGATGAGGAACCTCCTTATCTAGTGGCACATTCTGATGTGCAAGAAAGTGCCAAAATCTATCACAGGCCCAAAGCTGAGCGTAATAATAAAAAAAAGTGGAAACAGCCTGTGAGATGAGCTGGAGGGGTGTCCTTTTCAAACACAGCTTAGGTTAGTTTCTTTACAGGTAAGGTATTTCCTGTAAATTAAGCGTTAGTGGGCTCACAATAAAACGGAGACATCAGGTAACACCGGATGCTGGCAACAGACCTTCTATAACCGTGGGTGCTGCTGGAGGTTCCGTTCATTTCCCCGCACACACGACAACGGAGTGGTTCTTACCCCAGCCCAGGTATTCTTTCGCACTGTCCCGTCATCCCAGCTATTAAGTTTTTGTGCTGCATCATCACTCCTTTGGGTCTCCCAGTCGAGCCGCTGGTGTACATTACTAAAGCCAGGTCTGTAGGAACAGGTCTGCTGGGCGGAACGCTGGCTACGAAACGCAGGAGGAAAACTGTTATTGACTCTTATCTACTTTCTAAATTGTTAATTCTGTGATTAATCACTGTGAAACCCAGAGAAACCCACCACCCAGAGAAGCTGTGGATGCCCCATCCCTGGAAGTGTTCAAGACCAGGCTGGATGAGGCTTTGAGCAACCTGGTCTATGGAAGGTGTCCCTGCCCATGGCAGGGGGTTGGAACTGGATGGGCTTTAAGGTCCCTCCCAACCCAAACCATTCTGTGATTCTGTGACAGTGTCTGTGATCAACCGGTGTGGCTCTGGCTTCGTGTAAGCACCGTGTGCTGCTGCGTGGGCAGTGGGGGGTGCAGATGGAGAGAGCAGTGCTCTGTTCCTAACAGGAAGTGATGGCAGGCAGATTTTGAAAGGAATGACAATCATCGACACGATGCAGGTGATGCTTCTGCCATCCCGTCTTACAGCTGGCTGAAAGCTTCCTAGAAAAAGCCTTCTGAAAAGCAAGCAGACCTGCCCAAGGCAGTGAAGGGGAGAAATAATGGCACTAGAGAGACACAACAGGTTGAGAAAAAAACAAACCCAAAAAAACAACACCCCAAAAAGCTGCAAGTCAGCTTTCCTGTCACTCACTCTTCCAAAGCCAGCGCTGCAGAGCCAAGACTATTTCCTTTTTAAATGCACCTGCCTCAGGTAAGCTGCCAGTCAGTGCAAAAGCAGTAAGGCTACACTTCACCTCTGCCCTTTTAGTCAAGAGAGGGGATCTGGCTAAGCACAGACTGCGGATTTAAGGAAGAGAGATGACCAAGGTTGGTTTTCCTTCCTTAAAGCAAAAGTTTACAGTCACTCCTGCCTGCCCAGTGTAGCAAGGAATGCAGTGGTTATTCCTCTAGCCCAAGGTGCTTTTTAGCCACAGATTGGTTAAGAAAAAAGACATTTCCAAGGCAACAAGGGAAAAAAAATCCACAAGTGCTTTCTCCTCTTTTCCTGGGAAAAATAGTGAAAATGAGATGAATAAAGGTAAGAGCAGCAGAAAATGGCACACTGCATTCTATTACACGTCCTAAAACAAAGGTGGAGTCTTAAAATTAAATTATTCTGGTTCTGGTTTAGAAGTTAAAAGCCAAGTTTTATCCTGAAATACCTGACACTTGAACAAAGGTGCAGGACAACAGACAGAGACCAAATGTATCTCCTGTCTGTTTACAGGAAGCCAGAGGATCAGCTGCCAATTTGCCACCGCCTTCCTGTGCTGCACGGGTGCCGTTTTCCCTGCAATGCATCCCTCTTCAGCTCTGTCTGATTTCCCTGGTAACTTTGCTCGACCAGTTCTCTGTGATTCACTTACAGTTCTCTGGTTTGGCTCCCAGCTCTTCTACCGTCTGCATAGTATGAATCTCCACGTTGTCAGGGTATTCCGATTTACTGACAGCCTTCTTGTCCACATAAATGATATGTTTAAGGCAGGAGACTTGTGGCAATGCAGCCTACGGAAGAGAAACGCCATTTTTAGTACCGACTGCACCGTGAAACGGTGATGGGGTTGCTCGTGAGCAGGCTGGGCTGGCACCACACTACCTTCAGCTTGCTCTCCAGAAGTTCCACGCTGGTGACCAGGTAGGACGCTCCGCACTCATTGAGGCCGTAGGTTACTGCCTCTTCGCCCAGGGTGGCATACAGCGTCACGACTGTTACAGCACGGAGAGAACGTGAAAGAAACGTCACAGCCATACGGAATGCAACAGCTCTTGCTTTAGCTCACTGGAGGGCACTGCGGGAGGAGGGGGGCGGGGCATAAAATCTGCTCAATGGGCAATTTTCTGATTTGGAGATAACACAGCGTTTGTTTTTTGCACATCAGAATTTTTTGCCCTGAGAGACCCCTGGAATGAGGAGGACAGTGGTACAGGAAGCATTTCTTTACCAAGAGGGTGGCCAAAGCCTGGAACAGGCTCCCTAGAGAGGTGGTCGATGCCCCAAGCCTGTCAGTGTTCAAAAGGCATTTGGACAATGCCTGTAACAATACGCTTTAACTTTTGGTCAGGCAGTTGGACCAGGTGATTGTTGTAGGTCCCTTCCCACTGCAACAGTCTAGTCTATAGAAGAGAAACCATCGAAACCAAAGAGATCCGCCAAACCCCAACAACAACGCACCAAGCCATTGCACAGAAAGCGACTGAGAACGGGTGTTCTGCCCCCGAGCTCTCTGCACCCAGAACTCGGGAGGAGGTGACCCTAAACGGCTCGCAGCTATGCCCTGCGACAAGCAGCTCTTCCAGCAGCCTCAGCTGCTCTGCTTGCTCCCGTCAAACCAGGGATGGGGGCAAGGCAGAGGACCAGACTAAGGAATCAGGCTGGTTTTCAAGATGATCTTCCAACCCTGACTGGCTACAGTGATGCCATTAAGTGCCTCGCAGACACCAAAGAGTTCACCTCTCCCCATCAACTCCCTTGAAAACACACCTTCCTTTAGCAGTGCCTGCTACCTCAACCTCTAACCTCCAAAGTCCACTGAAAGAATTTAATATTCCTGTGAAAGAGTTCTTGTGAAGGGACAAAAAGAGAGTAATGCTACACAGCTGATTATTCTTGCCTCTCAAAGCACGAGGATCAAGACTGAATTAACCATCCTCTCCTACTTCAACAGCCACAGCTGCCCTTCCATTACTGCCCTGTAACAGTCTCTGTGCACACTGTACCGTGTGACCTCTTCCCAGTATTTCTACTAATACTGGAAGGCAGGCAGCAAGCACACACATAAGGAGGCCACAGAAATCAGCAATGGGTCATAATGTGTCATATGCAGACTGGGCATATGAGGGCACAGTAACCTTTGCCACTTCATGGAGAAGTTCGTACACAGTAAGTCAGATCAGAGATTTTGGCAGCTTAAATAAGATTAAGAAAGAAGAAACCATAACTGTAATGACCGTGAGCAGGTTAGTGTCACCAAAACCCCCTCAGACTAGCATCTGATTGTAATCACTCTGCCCTTCTCTTCTAATAACCATTTCATGGTTTGGATGTGCAAGTCAGGATACAGACAGAAAACACTATAAACACATTCCACATTTTGGGGTGAGAAACGCAGCTACGGACGTCTTCAGAGTATTCTAAGAAATTTGAATAGTAACTGTAGTGTTTTGTTATTGCAATATCCAGAACATCACTACAATAAAATCAGAAAAAAGTCTCATAAGTCTGAGCAAGTTAATCCAGGGGATCTCTGCAATGCACAGAATAGGCTGGAAACGTCTGATCACGCCACAGGCAGAGTCAGGTCATGAAATTCTTACACCATCAGTGACAGGATTGGCAGATTAAAAATGCTCAACAGCCAAACCAGGGCTGAGAAATGGTTCTAAAATAGACGAGAGGTACACAAGATCAGCACTCACGAGGAAAGTTGTACTTGAAGCAGGCGAGAGCCGCAACCATCCATTCTGCTCGCGTCTCACAGAATATGGCAACAGTACTCTTTGGGGTTAGTCCCAGGGCAGTCAGTCCACTCCCAAAGCGGTTTACCTTCTCATTTAATTCTTCATAGGATAACCACCTGTAAGTTCCTAAAATTAACTGGTGAGGAAAAAAAAATAATGTAAAAGCTCTGAGGACAAGAAGGTACTGGTACAGCCCCACAAGCTGACATGAGTTGGTGTGCAATACCCTAAGCACATGCTGCCGTGCGTTAAAAGGAAAAAAAGGCTTTTGTTTTCCTTGCAACATATAAATAGAAGAAATAGTGCAACCTGTGTTCTGTTGAACTGTAAAATGGGTGCTCGATATCCTAAGATGACAATTAAGGAAGACCTCTAAGGATTCACATATTGAGAGAGTGGTAGGGTTGGAAGGGACCT